CTCCACCACCTCCCTGGGCAGCCCACGCCAATGCCCAAACAACCCCTTCTGGAAAGAAATGCTTCTGACATCTAGTCTAAACGTTCCCTGGCACAACTTGAGGCCATTCCCTCTTGTCCTGTCACTTATCACTTGGTTAAAGAGACTCATCCCCAGCTCTCTGCACCCTCCTTTCAGGGAGCTGTAGAGGGTGATGAGGTCTCCCCTCAGCCTCCTCTTCTCCAGACTAACCCCCTCCCCAGTTCCCCCAGCCGCTCCCCAGCAGACCTGTGCTCCAGACCCTGCACCAGCTCCGTTGCCCTTCTCTGGACACGCTCGAGTCATTCAATGTCCTTTTTGGAGTGAGGGGCCCAAAACTGAACACAGTCATCGAGGTGTGGCCTCACCAGTGCCGAGTACAGGGGTCAGATCCCTTCCCTGTCCCTGCGGGCCACACTAGTGCTGACACAAGCCAGGATGCCATTGGCCTTCTTGGCCCCCTGGGCACACTGCTGGCTCCTGTTCAGCCGGCTGTCAATCAACCCCCCTAGGTCCCTCTCTGACTGGCAGCTCTCCAGCCACTCCTCCCCAAGCCTGTAGCCCTGCTGGGGGTTGTTGTGGCCCAAGGGCAGCCCCCGGCATTTGCCCTCAGTGAAACTCCCCCAGCTGGGCTCAGCCCATGGCTCCAGCCTGTCCAGGTCTCTCTGCAGCCTCCCCACCCTTGAGCAGATCAACACTCCCACCCAGCTGGGTGTCATCTGCAAACTGACCGAGGGTGCACTCGATCCTCTCCTCTGGATCATCAATAAAGATGTTAAACAGGAGTGGCCCCAGCACCCAGCCCTGGGGGACACCACTCGTGACCAGCCACCAGTGGGATTTAACTCCCTTCACCACAACTCTCTGGGCCCGGACATCCAGACAGTTTTTACCCAGCGAGGCGTGTGCCCATCCAAGCCTCGAGCAGCCAGTTTCACCAGGAGAATGCTGTGGGAAACAGTGTCAAAGGCATTACTGAAGTCAACCAACCATTAACCTTCTCTGAGGATCCGTGTTCAGGAAAGCAACTTAGCAAAAGCACTGACCCACCAGACAGACATCACCCCCATTGAACTGCACTTGACCAGTTATTTCAGCCTGAGACAAAATCCACTCAAACTTTTTTGAGTTTAGGAGTCTTGTATGACAGAACTATTGTCCTTGCTCCTCCTGTATGCAGTCTCACACTCAGTTTTGCTGCTAATGGACCTAGAGCAGATCCTGTTCCTCTGTAACTCTAATTTATTTCCAGAGTATCACCTAGTCTATTCACTGAAAGAAGGATAAAAAAAATACATAGCTATGAAATTCAAAGTCACTCTAAAATACATACATACCAGTAGATGAAATTAAGACACATCCTAACACCCCATAAAACTGTTTCCTTGACTTTCAAATTTAGTTTTTGACACTGTAAACAATTATCTTTAAAAAAAAATAGTAATTTAATTTTATGATAATTGATGTGCACAACTCTACCCCTTCCTTTCACTGTATCATTGCAAGGTGTTGCCTTTTTGTACTGTCAGCACAGCAGTGACCATCATCCATCATCTGAACTGATGTATAAAACTACAAGTACAGAGAGATACAAGACAAATTCAGGTGCTGGCTTCGGAAATCCACTGCTGTGGAACAGGCATAAAATGCCAGAGGTTCTAATTAATGTTAGTGCTAGTGGCCTACATATACATGATGAATCTGATTTTATAAAGAGTGTTGTAAAAGATACTGTCTGAGAAACCATACTTCTCCTGAATTTATCTATCTCCACAGGTACACTAGTGTACCGATTATTTTCTTTTCTGAAAAATAAATTTATTTTCTTTTCTAAAAAATAAATGTCACAGAAACAATGCTAGTGGTCAGCAGTACCAATAAAACCGTAACTGGTTCCCAGCACAGTCCCCATCTAAGTTGCCACCTTCCCCTAACTTGTCTGGTAAGAAGTAACTGCAGCGCTTACATCCCAGTTAGTGGTTAGTGATGCACACCGAAGTAGAGTTGGTAAAAAACTAAGTCAGTACTGATAAGAAATGAAACGACATTAAATTGCCTAGCAATTCTGAGTTAGCCATGCAGAGCTGGAAGGTAATGGCTGTCAACAGCTTTACTTTAGCCCAATCCAAACATTATGAAAGCAAAAGGCATCCTTATCATTCGATGATGACCTTCTAGATAAATTTTAGGTTGCAAAAAGTTGAAATGTTACTATGTTTCCGTAGTGCAAAGTCTTAGTGAACTGAAAATACATATAAGCACCATTCTCCCACTGTTTCTAGAATCTTCTGAATCTTAAAACCCCAAATTGTTCACTTTCACAATGTAAGTTGCAGGTCTAAACTCCAAACTCTCAGTGAAAGAAGGCTGGCAGTTCATAGAAAGGCTGAAGTTTCTCGGTATTCACATCAAGACAGATGAACATGTTTTCTGTGATTTGGTTTATTCTTGTGATCAGTTGGGATCAGACGAATTGCAGAAGAGTATACAGAAACCAACTGTCTAGTTAAAGGTGTACTAGAAAGAAAGCACCCATGAAAGAAGTAGGAAGTTTTGATCATGAGTTTCTCTTTCTTGCTTGTCATTTCACCTGCTTTTTATGGCAGCAGATGATGCTCCTCAGTTTTCAAGGTTCACATACATGGCTAAGTCTGCCACTGTATTTTCTTGTCTTCAGATAAATTGACATAGGTAAGATTCAGCTCTGTCTGAAGGTATTACAACAAGATATTAACTACTCCAACACAGCAACACATTGTCATGGACTGTCTCTACATACTTGTTTTATACACACCTTACAGTTTCAGCACATTGTTATGTAACTGACTGGATTTTGGCTTAGGTCCCCTTACTGGGATTGCTCCCAACCACATCAATGCATCCGCTATCAGACTTGCAGTTGGATTTGCTAACTAGCATGGTTTTTTCTTTACATATATTCGTAAGCAGATGACTACTGCAAAAAAGTAATAATATTTTGAAAAGTATTTCTTTGGTTGACAAGGTCGTTCAACTGAGGAAAATAGATCTCTATCAATTAAAACTGTAAGGAACTAATCTTGAGTATTGCATGTTACTGAGAGACATGATGGCACAGACCCAGCAGTTTCAAGGAGAGGTGAAGGGTGATGTTTGGAGGAGACCAGAACAAACTGTGTAGACCAGCTCTTGGAACCTGCCTTGCAGAAGACTCATTGGCCATGCTGTTGAGTTCATGATAACTCTGATTAATGTCATAAAGTATGTTACACTGAAAATGGATTTTCCCCTGTTTGTTTTACAACCCAGGCCTTGCAAAAAGAGTCAGCTGTTGGTGGGGCTTCAAGTAAGACTTAAGTCAGACACCGAAAGATCACAAAGTTTAACCTTACTTAACTTTCTATCATCCTGTGTTTCTTACATCTTTCAAGATCTAGAGTGACTAGAAATCTTTCACACTTCTAAAAACAAAACTCCCACAAAACCTTTGAAATAGTTACTCTCTCCTCTGTATTTCACATACTTGCCCTATCTGAACCCCTTACCCTCTTAATTGTCCTCAAAGACATTGAAAGAAAATTAAATTAAAAAAAAAAGTGAAATATTTATACAATATAAAAATTAAGATAAAATTGTGTTTAAAAAAAATCTACCTAATCAGCTGTTAAAAACAGTTAAAAGCAGAAATAAAATTAGTTCTGCCAGCTCCTGAGGATTTTGTGACTGGCAACAATAAGGTTCCTTATTGTTGCCAGTCACAAAAATCCTTATTAATGAAAAGATACTTGCAAGTGTCTTTTCATTCATGTATTAAAAATTATGCCTCAGCTTTTGAGTTGATGAAGGAAACAACATGTTCATGGCAGGTTTAGGGTTTCTTTATGTAGGCATCAATACTGCAGATACCAGGTTTTTTCCTCTGTGGCTGTAGGAAAAGGAAAACCACACACAATACCTTTGTCACTTACGCATAGTGCAAATAAAGACTGTTGATATTCTGCCATTTTTGTGCAAACACCATTTGGATAAAAAGATAAATAAAACATTCCTTCCTTTTTTCCAGATGAAATATGCTTCTTTTGTCTGTGTATCTCAAAGAAGGAAAAAGACTCTACTTGGATTTCAGCATTTGGTTTTTACAGAACATCCTATGATGATGTTCTCCCCACATCACAATCCTAGAAATCTGGGCTGTTTCTTTCACATCATGAGATCAAGTCTGTGAAGTGGAAATTTCTGTTCTTCCTAAAGAGCTGTTTCAATGCTAGAGATGCTGCTAGTTTTTGCTCCTGCTGCACAGTCACAGTTTGCCAGTGTAAAGAAAAACAATCAAGCTTTACTGAAGAGGAGATGCATCTTGGATTACAACTGTTAGGTTGGCCTTGCACTAAAACCTGCAATTTTTTCCATCATAGTATTCTGTCCTGTCAATGTCCACAGTGATAACTGCGTATTTAGTTTCATTTATGATAAAATTTTATAGAAGCAACACATGGTCTAAATCCTTGCCTTGTTTGTTTCAGGCATTAGGGTTAAGATCTCCAATGTGCAAGGAGATGTTCAGTGGGATATTCTTAATTGTCTAGGTTTAATTCCCACTGAAACTTGAGCATCTTAAAAATCTGGCCTGTGGCTTTACCACAAAGCTAAACATGACCAACAACGTTCTTACTTTAAAGTTTCAATGCAATGTATGTATATCATCACAAGAAATTACTTTAAAATTATATTCAAGCATTTTCAGTCTCCACTTATAAACTGGCACCGTTTCTTATCCTTGAAATTTTGAAATTAGTTGTGCTGTAATATCTCATAAATGAAATATCTGTCAGTCAGAGAGATCCCTTTCTTTCCACCTATTCACTTCTATTAAAAATAAATTGTCAAGTATTGCACCATATAGTAAGACATAGTTTAGAACAGGACCTTCTCTAAGACTTGTAAACAGTATTATGGAGGATTTTCTATCCTAAAATTCCTGTAATCATAATTTTTCTGAATACCTGAAAAAACCCCGGTGGTACAGGACCTACTGGCATGCCATCTCCTGGGGGAATGTTTCCTAGCACTGGACTGGGAGCTGCTGCAGCACTCTGAAAAGAACAAAGGGAGAATAAACCTTTGTCATTGCATGGTAGGCATTAAACCCCCTCCCCCCAAAAAAACCCCAAATCAAAAAAGCCCCCAAAACCTGACCAAAATGCAGAAAGTAATTCTCTGGATATGTCATGATGTTATTCTTTCATCTGAAGGTAAATTAAAATTGTATAGTATTTGGTCTTAATTTAGACAAGTATTATGATTTATTAAAATAACAAAGGTATGTTGAGGGGAAGGATGCTAGAGATCGCATGGATATACAAATATGTGTCAATTAAATAAATCTCTACTAGGTTTTTAAAAATATTGCATCTGAGTGTGTTTACATATATACAAATGTGAACGTAACTTGCACACTTTTTCTTGTAATATGTGTATAAACATCCTCACACATGCACAAGGATATACATATATAGCGTAAAGAAATTTATGCATTTTATCAGCAATTTCCAAGCACTTTAAAGGTAATCTTAGCAGACGGTAATATTCTTTCAGAACTACAACACGCTTCAAAACAGTGTTCTGTTATAAACAGTACAAGAAGGAATGCTTACCATTTTGCTGGTAATGCTTATGATTTTCCCAACCCCACAAATACCCATCATGACAAATTAGAAGAATTCAGGTTACGTTTTTGGGAAGGTAAAGAAAAAAAAAAGGTTTTTTAAGACGTGAGTCAGAGGATTAAATTAGTTACCTTTGCAAATCCTTCAGTTTGAATAAGCAAGTAAAGAATATTGCTTCTGGCAATTTACAAGCAGGAGATTGCCACAAAAAGGGAAGCCAAACTGTTATTGTTGTCATGTATTGGAACCTGAATTACTTTTAATTTCTAGCAGTCTTCCTTCCTGCAATATGTTTCTGTAGGGCACAAGACTGAATCACCCATAAAGGCTTACAATCTTCTGTGAAAGTACTCGTGCACACACAATGCATCGAGAGCCACTTGCAGCTTACTAATGACCTGCCAACATCTGCCCCACAGAATACGAATGGCTTGCGTTTATTAACTTATCGTCTATTGTAAGCGCACACTTGATATCCAAAAGATGCAGATGTGGAAATTGTATTTCCAGGTGTCTGGCACACTATCTAGGAAACTGAAGAATAATGCTGGAAAGTTTTGAAAACTGGCACAAAGAAGGGCTGACCTTTTTAAACCAAGCAGAAAGGAAATAGTTAATTAACATAAGACTTTTCAATGGCTTAAACTATGCTTTGGAATCAAACTCCTGAACAACTAGCTGTAGCATATTTAGCATCTAAGCTGTATGTTCCTTCCAAACAAAAGTCTAGAACATATCATTAAAATACAAAGACTGCAAAACATGCTGGCTTCAGAACTGAGTACAAGACTTCACTAGAAAACTCTGTAATAAACATTCTTATTTATGCAAAGATCTGGTCTGCAGGATCAGTGTTAAAATACTATATAATTGCAATTGACGGAGAAAGCCAGGTAGGTGAGTTGGATGCAGCAAACATTTTTGAATCACAATACCGTCTCATGAGAGGCTACCACAAACAAACCCAACCACCAGCCTACAAAGCTGTAGCAAATAAGGACGGTTCTCCGCTAGCCATTGCTATTCTTTGGGTGCTGCCTGAAGTTCATGAGACTGGAGTATGATGCTGCTTAGGTGCAGGCAAAATCGTGCAAGTCCCTGGAAAGCGTCAGGTACTTCTCTCAGGTCTGTGGCAGTCTCTTGGCCTCCCAGACAGAGGGGGAGGGGAAATAAGCAAGTGATGTGAATGCACAGAAGTAATTCCTGAAGAACAGAGTAATTTTGTTACCCTTCCTTTCTTTTGCATGGCTTCAGTGAATGTCCACTAATCACTTTCAGATTATCTACATTTCCAAAGGGAAAGAGAAGATAAAGTTTTCAGCTTTTTTTTTTTTGCTTTTTTTTTTTTTTTTTTTTTTAAAAAAAAAACTGAAATCATGAATAGGTGTAGACACAATTTGAGTGAAGTGTGTTGGATCTTACCTCCATATGTACAGATTTTCTAGATGAAGAATCAGTAGCACCAGTGATGAAGAAAATCAATTATGTGTTAAAAGCCTGAGCATCTTAAATGTCCAAAACAGCCTGTACTCCAGCCTTTGACTAAGAAGGAGTAGCCCATTAAAAGGGCACTAATAATGATGAATCTCGTTACAGTATCATCCATCCTTGCATATTAATTCCTGATTGCCCCTATGCTACTTTAGCTGTGTCCACCTTTACCAGCCATGTAATATGCACTGTCAAATCTCCGGTGGAGCCAATGCTACAGAACAAAGCATTTGAACAGACTGTAATAAATCACTAGGCAAATGCATCTCAACAGCATGAAGTCAGATAGGCAAAACACTCTCAAAATTGCAAGATCTCAGAAAAAGATCTAAGCAGCACTTCCTCTGACACACCACCAGTTTTCAGAAGCCTCCCATCCCAGGTTCCTCAATCCTGTTGACATTATTTAAACTCAACTATGCCAGGCATTAATGCATGCCAGAGTGCCTTAATGCACTCAGTGGGTCATAGATGTCCTCCACAACTGCAGCCTCTCACAGAGCCCCCAGGTGATGAAAGGATGTAAGAGAAGGCGGCAATGACTTCTCAGGATGCAGTGCTCCTACGGGGATATAGGGATCTGCCTCCACTGAATTCATGCCATTTCCTGCACTTTAAAAAAGGAAAATGGCAAAATAGACTTAACAGTTTAAGCAAAGAATTAAAATTGTGTGTTAAGATTTATGCTAGCCATTAAACCTCCTAGCAAGGCATTATAAGAAATATGTCTAAAGATAACATTTTCATAATTGCCTCAATAGCGGTTTCTTAAAAATAATATTTTTTTTCTTATTTTTGAATCTGACTTAGCAGTGACACAAGAGGAAGAGAGCTTTGCTCCTCAGTGAACCTCAGAGTACACAAGTCAGAGAGAGAACCTCAGTGAACCTCAGAGAGTGCTCAGCTCTCCTGGAGTGGTAAAATGGGCACAGGGTGATTCTGTCTCCTGAGGTACAGACATAGCAATGAATGACCGTAAGTCTACCTCACACGCGTGATGAAACGCATTGCTTTCAGAGGTGCTGCCAGTTCCTGTGAAAGGTGTATCGCTCCGAAGTAACCACTTTTTAGGAGGAGCGGGTTTTGTACAACTATGTTGATGAAGAAGATAATGTAGAAAGGAGCCAGATGAAGCCAACACATGAGGCTGGAGAGCTTCTACAGCCTTCTCTGAAAGCCTTCTGCTCAAGACCTGAAGTTCCATTCCGCCCAGAGGGTGGACAAAACATCTGAGCAGTGCTATCAGATGGGTATCAGAGAAATAATTTGTAATAATGAAGGAAGAAGAAAAGCAAGGTCTTGTGGAGGTGATTACATAACAAGTGATCCAGAATGATTTAGTCAATCTTGGTTCTTGTGGTTTCCGGAGAAAAAGGTCTCAACCAGAAGTGAACTAGCTCTTTGCTTCAGGCTAGTTACTCAAAATTAAATTCATTTATTAATGCTGGCCATTTTTTGATTGTGGACCATGATGTTTTGGGGAAGTATTCAATGTGTTGATTTTAACTGGCCTAATTATTTGAGATTTAATTATATCACTCGTGCAAAACCATCTCTCCTTTGTATTTCTGAGAAGGGGGACAGAATGATGCAAAATTTGAGTGGCTGTAATAGTGGATCAGTTTTACTGACATTTGAAGTACTGCTTAATAATTGTAAGAATATTATAGTTATAGGCATTCTGCAATAGTTCAGTCTGAGGTGTTACAGAAACATCAACTTCCATCTTTCATTGTGTAATGTCCCAGGCTTTTTTTCTGTTTTCATGTTTGTTTGTTTGGGATTATCTTCGCTGATGGGCACCGAAGTCCCAAAACCAGAAATAAAGCATTTTCAGTGTTTTAAGTATATTACATTTTCTAGCTTGCACTATCCAATGGTTTTAAGAACTTATACCAGGTAGATCAATAAGCAAACCTGCAAGCGCTGCATTAAAAATATTCTTTTCTATCCTGATTAATTTTTCAGTTCTTTTTTTCACAGTCCCTCAGCAAACCATGCCTTCTTTTTGCATGCATTACAAGTTGTTCACCATTTATACTTCCATTAGTTTGATACTCCCTGCAACTTGCTTTCCCTGCTTTTCATAATAGGATGAGATAGGAAAGTTTAAATGGTCTAATAGTTTTGTACAGTATCTTACCCCCTTAAAAATGGAAAACTGTTATTTGCTTTTGTAGCTCGAATACCGAATTTATCATATATCATTACAATTATTAATTGAAAAGGTATACTTGAAAGAAACTTATTGTGATCATTGTTTACCAGCGCTACCCTTGACAACGCAAAAATAGATTAGTATATTAAAAAGATCAAAACTAGCTATGGGTTAGACTGGTTTTTACAATACAGAAATCACAAAGTAAATAAAAAATAAAAAAGTTTAGTTATTGCATTAGTACAGTATCTGAAATATAAAACTCTGCAACACATAGGCTATCACAAGAAGTGGTTTATGATAGAAGCTCACAGAATAATTCAATTTACAACCAATTAATTATACAAAGAAAGGACTTTGACTTCATGTATAAAAATCCTTATCCAGCTCATTCACTAATCTGGGCATTTAATTTCAGGTATTTTTCTTAGATTAGGGAATCCTTATTTTTATCTGAAGTGAGAAGTTTATCACGTTACTAAATTTTTCCACCAAAATGAGACTTATAATGTTTTAGAAGTCTATTTGATGACGAATGATGAAATCTACCTGGTGATGGATGAGAGAAGTTGGACCTCACATACAAGACACATCTATGGCCACTCTTGTCCACTCATTCCCTTATCATCCCAGCCTCCTCCATAAACCTCCTCTATATTAGCACTAAATCTGCTGAGTTAGCTGGAGAGTCCCAGTTCCTGCTGAATTACTAGAGGTGGTGAGTACCCACATCTTCAGCTGCATCAAGCACCAAGCCAATCCCTCCCGTTACTGGCTT